TTATTTTCCCAGTGAATTTCGTAGTTTTGGAAACACGACTCATTTCCAATCCTAAAGGAGAGATATCTATTATCTTAGGAAGATCATTCTTAGCCACTTATGGAAATTCATAGAAGCACATCAAGGGAACTTGGAAGCAATCCAACGAGCTTTGGCGGCATCCTCTTCAAGTTCTATTGGAGCATCATCATCATGCACACGGTCACAAGGCGATAGCCCTAGTGTGGTAAGCGATTCGGAATCCGATAGTGATATATCCATTAATGAACTCGCTTGTGCATATGATAGATTAATGCATGCCTATACTAAGTTGCATGATAATTTTATTAATCTTAAAAGCAAGCATGTTGCATTAAAATCCGATCATGAGGAGCTAGTGTCCAAATTTGATGTCATTGCAAAATAAAAGCAAGCATGTTGCATTAAAATCCGATCATGAGGAGCTAGTGTCCAAATTTGATGTCATTGCAAAAGAAAATACTATGCTTAAAGAAAACAATGACTTGTTAAATTTGAAAAATAAAAATTTGACATCATCCATCACTAGCTTATCTCATGCTAAAAATGATGTCATGCTAGAAGTAGAAGCTATTAGAAATGATTTTGATAACCATACATGCTCTAATTCTATTATCAATGCCTCTATGCCTAATGATGAGTTGAATAACATTAAACATAGCATCTCATCTTTAGATTCAACTCTCAACACATGCATTGATAACCATAAGAAACTTATGGACAAGTGTGCTAAATCTAGTGCTAAAACTTCTAAATCACCTAACCACTATGCACACTTGTATAGCAAAGTTTACAAATGCACAATTTATGGTCGTAAAGCCCATTTAGCTAAATTTTACTATGATGCACACAAACATAAGAATACTAATGCTCATTGTGCATCACATTAAGTTTCTTTACCATCTTGTACACTTACACATTCACATGCTCATTCTCACAAAGTTCATCATAAGCATGCTAGTATGTTCAAGTGTTATTTTTGTGGACGTTTCGGTCATTTGACCAAGTTTTATTTTGATTTGAAGAGAGTTTCTCATTTGCAAAACAATTTTAAAGAGCAATCTATTTTTGCAAATGTTCCACGTGTACATCCATATGGTCCACAAAAATAAATGGATCTCTTTCATTGCACAAATTACAATCGGAATGGTCATTTGAATGATTATTGCTTTGACCGTGTTAGTACACCAAATGCGCCCAAGAGGGTTCATAACCCTAGGGCTTTGAGCTTGAAAGATAGGGGTCATGTCTCTAAATCTCTTGGTACCAAGAATTCTTGGGTACCAAAATAAATTTGATTTTTAAACCAAGTATTTTAGTGTTTTTCTTTTTCCTTTTCTTGCTTTTGAAAATTATACTTAAACTTTTTGAATATGAAAATAATTTTTAATTGATCAACTCTTTTGATCATGATTATTGGTTTTGTTTTGATGAGAGGTTTGTGTTTGTATAACCCCCACCCCAAATTTATTAGGTGTTTATTCCCAAATCTTGTTTATCGGGTACTAAAAGTCCTTACATGGGTTAGAACAATCTCAAGAGCTTGATATGGTTGCCTCTCTCATTTTTGAAAATCAATGATGGTTTGGTTTTATACTCTTAAAGATGATTTTTGGTTTTTAAAATCCATAGTTCATGATTCTTGTATGTTACTTTTGAACTATGAAAATTTTGCTTCGATTTGTTTTTTTTTTTTTTGAATTCATTATATAAGCACAAATAGATGATTCAAATTTCAAATATGCTTTATAATGTTCTATATGTGGTTTGATCAAATTTTACAAAGAACATTTCTTTTATTGATCAAACATCATTTTTGGTTTTAAATCTTGATTTATGATTTTATTTGAGTGATTTGTTTTCATTTGAAAATTGTTTTCATGATTCTTATGTTTTCTTTCCCATGATTTCATATATCCATTTTATATTATTTTTATGTTTGAGTAATGAGATACATTTTTCATATTGATATATTTATATGTGTCCTCATTGTATTTTTGCATGTGAGTTTTGTTTAGCATATTTATGTTTGCTCACATATTTGTCTTGATCATTATTGCATATATTCCATAAGGCATTTTGATAGGGGGAGTCTTTCCTTTTCTATTATTGTTTTTATACTCAGCCATGCATATTGATAGGGGGAACTTTCGCTCTCTTCATTCTTTTGTTTTCCCCTTTTTAATGTTGTCAAAGGGGGAGAAATATTATGATTATATCTTGTTTTTGTTATATGCATGATAATTCTAATTTACATATTTTCTTTCATGTATATATCATTTTTGTAAATTATTTGTCATCATCAAAAAGGGGAAGATTGTTGGCCTCCTTGTTTTGATGATGTTTAACAAATAATTTATCACTAATGTTGTTTGTCTAGTGTTTGTGTATTTTTATTTATTGTAGACAAACAACGAGTTGGAGGATGGATGGAATTAAGCTTCAACGATGATATCTAATGGAGGTTGGCAGAATAGTGATTGAAACCTATGCAATTCAAGTTGAAGATCCAAGTTCAAGCTTCATCCGTAAGTTTACCAAGAAGAGCTTATTGAAGACCTATAGCTTGGGTAATCTAGTTTAGGAGTTTATATTATGTGTGTTAAGTACTTTAAGCTCAATTATATATACACACACATTTTATTGGTTTTATATATGTATAGTTATATATATACATATATGTTTTGGTTTGATAGTTTTCAAGTTTTAATATGAAAAAATTGAATACAATTAAAAATACACTTCTTGTTTCATACTTATATGCATATTTATGATTTCATCAATATCAATTTTGTTTAGTTCAATGAAATCATATATATTGTTTTTGAAAAGTTTGTAAAATATGTAATTTTGTAAAAATATTGTATTCTTAGTTTTTGGACTTAACAATAATTATATACATCTTTTATTAATTCTACAAAATCATTGTGTAATATTTCAAAACATGGTTAAGCTAAAATGTCAAAACTCATGTGTTTACATTTTTATGTTTTGGACTATTTTATAAAATAATGATATTTTTTATTTGGGAGGTCCTTTTTAAAAACTAGTTTTTGTAACATGTTCATTATCATGACTACAATCATTTTCCAAAGTTTTACAATTTTTGGAATTTGCTTGATATTTTTAAACGGGATTTTAAAATCAGAAAACTGTTTCAAACCTTTCAATTTCTAGTATCAGTTTGCAGTCGACCGCCTTGAGTCCAGAGACCCAGGTTGTGTTTTCTTGGCTCGGAAGTCCAGAGGGTTTTGTGGTTGACCGCCACGGTCGATCGGCTGATGTCCCGAGCCCATAATCTGTTTCTGACCTGCTTGTGGTCGACCGCGCGTTTTTCCACGGTCGCCCGCCGAACTGTCTTTAAGCTTCTAACGGCTAGTTTCCAGCTATTTCTCTATAGGCTTTGTGGTCATTTTCTTGGTGTTTTTGGCTGAGGTTTTGGGTGGCTATATATACCCCATTGCTCTCATCCTTCATAAGCTTCTAAGAGAATGTTTTAAAAGAGTTTAACAATGGTTTAAGCTTGTTTTGTGTATATTTAAAAGAGTGTTTAAGAGTTTGTTTGTGAAGAGAATTTCACAAGAGTTTGAGGAGATCATCAATCTTGTTTGGACTTCAATCTACATCCCTCCACTCTTGTTTTAGAGAAGTTTTCTTAAACTCTTTATCTAGCTTGTTTATGCTTAGTTTGTCATATTTATTTTGCTAGATTAAATTGAGTTTAGACTTGTTTTGATTTATCTATTTGTTCACACACAACCATTAAGCTTATTGTATTTACATTCATAGTATAATTTGGGTTGTGGGATTGTGACATTGAGTGTGAGCCTACATTGAGTTCTCATCTATTACAGAAAACAAATTTGTTACATTGTGAGAATGTAAAGTTTTCTGTTAGCTAGAAAACCGAGTGTGAGGTGTAAACGTTATTCAGGTGAACGTAGAAAACCCGGTTGTGATAGTGGAGATCTCCTCGAGGTGAGGAGCGGAGACGTAGGTCGTGGGGACCGAACTCCGTGAGATTGTAAACGTTGATTGGTGAGCGTTGAAAACTGATATTGTGTGGTGTAAACGTTATTCGGGTGAGCGTAGAAAACCTTATTGTGATAGTGGATTTCTCCTAGAGAGTGGGGAGCGAAGACGTAGGACGGAAGGTCCGAACTCCGTGATCATATTGTGTGTTTACATTGTTTATATTGCTCTATCACAATTGTATCTTTAATTTAGATTATTTCCCCTTGTGTTGTTTATATATCTTTGCATATATTTCACCATATAGGATATATCTCTTTTTTGTTCATATTGCATATTCTTGCTCATAACATATTATATATCTATCTTGCAAAAATAATTTATTAATAAGTTTAATTGGTATAAAATCGGATTAGATTAACACAAGACCCTAATCACCCCCCTTTAGGGTCTAACAATTGTAAATATGAGCAAAACTATAACTACAAGTTAATGTGAATATGAGTCAAACCACAACTAAAAGTTTAATGGACATATTACAAGTAAATTCATATGTAAAATTTCTTTACGAATTGAATGATCACCCATCTTCTAAAGACTTTAAGATACTAAAAAACAAAGATGTTGTACTAGATTAATGTATTTATAACTCACAAATAGTAGATTACGTGACCACGGTCTGAGTTGAAGGAAACAATTATAATTTTTTATTTGGGAGAGAGATTATTGAGTTAACGATCAATCCCACAAAAAACTTTATTTTATTTTTTTATCAATTTAAGTAATCATGATATTTAACCACGTGCATTACACGTGCATCTCAACTAGTAAATATATACCCACAACGTACCAAACAATACAACTATCAAATGCAATTATTCTCTCTACAAAATTTTATCTCTGAGCACTATCTTTTAGCCATATCGTTTGTGAGTCAGCTTGTTACTGTCCATGGAAGAAAGGAGGTTAACGGCAAGGTAATTTACCAAAACGAGCTGAAACTAATACTAAGTACGAGTAGCTAATACACGGACAAGAGGATCCATCGATAATCAATTTACACGAAAAACAAAATAAAAATAAAAAAAAAATTAAACAGAGATGCGTAATTAAAGAGCATTCTAGATAAGACCAGAGCCTACGACACGAGTCATGGCTACGAGACGAAGGCCGCCGACCCCACACATGACTCAGACCTTCGATCGGATCATCATGACTACAAGTAGTAGCAAGACGACAAAGGTCGAGCCAGCACGTGACTCGGAAATCTGAGGGTCGAGCTGAATTGCAATCATCATCTCGTCTTCTCGTTCTCCCTCGACTCTCCATTTTTCCTACGCAACAACGAAAGCGTGACCTTCACTAGCAATTAGCATGGAAAACAAAGAAGAATCCGGTTCATTGTCGACGGCTCCCTTACTGGGTTCATCACCCCAGCAGGCCCAAGGAAGAAGAGATGATGAGCCTGGAAAAGGCCGGTCCACGTGGGCCCAGACTCTGGGCAACATCGTGGTCTCCATAATTGGCACTGGAGTTCTGGGCCTCCCCTACGCATTTCGGGTCGCTGGTTGGGCCGCGGGCTCGCTCGGGGTTGCTCTTGCTGGGGTCTCCACCTGCTATTGCATGCTCCTGCTCGTAATTGGCGCTTCCCCTCATTTACTTGCTTACCACCACCCTGATTCTTTTATCCTACGAGTAGTGATCTTGATATGAGTGCCCTTCCATCTGATTTAATCGTTCTTTTGGGCAATTTGTCGAACAGCTCGTAGACGTTATAGACGAATTCAAGCACTTTTATAAACCCCCAATTGACTCTGCGTTTTAGTCAATGCAGGACTGAGTGGACCCTAACGTGTGCCAGGGTTTTTCAATTTGGTGAATTAACATGATGTCTAATCTTTTTTATGGGAACCAGAATTTCAAGATCTCTTGCTGCGCAAAAGCCTAAACCTTCTAATTTGTATGACAATGTATGGGGTAGAGTCCACTTAGTCCCACATCACCAGTCGTATGAGCGACTTGATGTTGGTTTATAAGGGATTTGGGTTCCCTCCCGCTATAAGCTAGCTTTTAGAGCTAGCTTTTAGGGGTAAGTTCTCTTGGATCCCTTACAAGTGGTATCAAGCTGACCCCACCCCACCTTTTGGTTGAAATTGGGCGGCACGGGTGGTGATGCCGGTATTGTAGTGTTTGCCCAAGACTAGTTTAGTGCAAAGCCAAATGGGTGACACCAAGATTGCATTGTTTGACTCGGACTAGACTAGTGCGTAGCCAACCCACGTGAGCGCCCGTGACCGGAAGCATGGTGGTATGTTAGAGTTCATTTAGTCCCACATCGGTAAGCATGGTGGTATGTTAGAGTTCGTTTAGTCCCGCATCAGTTATATGAGTGACTTGACGTGGGCTTCTAAGAGATTTGGATTTATAAGGGATTTAGGTCCCTTATAGTATGTTGCTAATTGAATATGTTTTATTTTAATTTTAATATTTTGATTTTTTTTTTAATTAAGGAGAAGATGGAGTTGTATGAGATCTGTCAGACTTTAGGGTGAAAGTTCCTCTAATAATGTTGGTTGTGTCATGCATTGCAGTTTGACCTCTTCAACGGAAATCACACACCTTAAATACTCTCTTTGATTTTTAGGGATGATGGTTGACACAAGGATTAAGATAAGCCTAACAAAACTTTGAGTGGAAACAATTGAGAAGGATATGATAATTGTTAACTTAACGGAGGAGATATCCCTAAGCAGAACTGAGTGGAAGAATATGATAAATGTAGCCCACCCGGAAAATTTGATACAAAGTCTTTCTGTTGTTGTTGTTGGTGCCTGTTGTTTATGCAGCAACAAAGTTTATCAGCAGTTTGTGTCCGTAGCTGGTGGTTTGATGTATTGAGAAAGATCAAACGACAGCTAGTTGAGTGGATACTATCAGGGGGCCATGATGCACAACATTGACAGTAACATATACTAGGAGATGCAAAATCTTAAAGACCGAGGATAAAGATAGTGGAAACGCCATAAGATAATATTCTATATAATATATGTGCTATTAAAACTGAATTAACATAATCAGTTAACAAAATCCTGTGAAATAAAAAGAGTTTGAACAACATGTCGAAAATTGCGTTTTACAAGGTGCACAAAAATATTCGTACCCAAGAAAATATCTATATCCGTCATGATGTGGATATGGTTGCTATAATCGATAGGATATGATAATGGTACTGAAATATATGTATCTGTGTTTGAAATATCTGAATATATGTTGATCATATAATTTGCAATAATTTTAATCCTTAGATTAATGGATTTGAGGCTGATTCTAGTAATCAAGAGATCTAGTCTTAGTTTTTTAGATATAATGACCATATTAATGAAATCTCTTGTATCATATGAACTATATTTTTTAATTTGATCTAGTTCTCAAATCCGCATATCCGCTTATATATTTACACGCATATCAGTATCTGCGATTTTTGCAGATATGGTTATGATTTTTTTTTTTACTGAAGGCATGTCCGTATCCATATCCAAGGCTCGTAAGCAGATACATATGGGGTGTATCATATTCGAGCCGTAACCGAACCGTGTGCACCCCTACTGTTTGCACAAACTATAAGTTCCAAAGTTACCATCTTTAAATTTTTTTAGATGTCTTAACTATCAATTCATTTTGTAGCAAGTTGCTGATTTCTTCCTTCTGTTTGTAGGAAAAACAAATGTTTTCCAGTTCGTGAAAAACTAGTTGAATTCCTCCATACAATATGCTGGCCACTGCATTCTGGTCTAGTTGTGTTAGTAATAGAAATATAAGATGTACATCTTAGAACAAGTTTCATACTTTTTTTTTTTTGAGTTTTTGTAAGGATACTAACCATACTCTTGGTCAAAATTCCATGTTTTCTTTTCTTTCTTCTTGATTTGTATTTTCCTCTAAATTTTGCTAACCTGATAACAAAGAATGAGCTTGTCATGAGGAGCGAGTTCTCTATGGATTAACCAGACAGGTACATCAAAAGAATATATGTCTCCCTCGTCTTAATTGAAGAAATTGAATTCATATGCTCCTAAAACTTCTAAGAATTTTATCTTGCGAACTGAAGTCATTGATAATGCATTTCTCGATATAGCATTGAGGATGGCAAAGAATTGGATTTCTAATCTCCATTAGCTGAGGAGACCATCAATTCAAATTTAAAACTTTGGAAAACTGCAAAGGTTGTAGAATTAATGATTTATTTTCTTGTGATGAATAGGTACAATGTAGGGATAAGTTAGAAGATGAAGACAAAGAAGGGTCCATTTGCATCACAACTTATGGAGATCTGGGCGCAAAAGCCTTTGGAAAAGCAGGCCGCTATCTTACTGAAATCCTCATCCTCGTCTCACAAGCTGGTGGTGCCATAGCTTATCTAATATTTATCGGCCAAAATCTCTCTTCTACCTTCTCTTCAACTGGAACAAACCACTTTTCAATCTCTCCCTCAATTTTCATTTTCTTAGTTCTCCTTCCTCTTGAAATTGTCCTCTCTTTTATCCGTTCCTTATCTTCTCTCGCTCCATTCAGCGCCTTTGCCGATGCCTGCAACATCCTTGCCATGGCTATTGTCATCAAAGAGGATTTTCAACTATTTAAGAGTTTTACAGAGACAAGGAGAGCCTTTAACGGCGCTTTGGGTTTGCCTTTTGCTGCTGGAGTGGCAGTTTTTTGCTTTGAGGGCTTTAGCATGACCCTGGCATTGGAGGCATCAATGGCTGAGAAGGGGAAGTTTCGCCGAGTGCTTTCATGGGCATTTCTTGGGATAACTTCTGCTTATGTTTTGTTTGGAATTTTTGGTTATTTGGCGTATGGTGATGAGACCAAGGATATTATAACGCTCAACCTCCCCAACAATTGGTCCGCTATCGTAGTTAAGGTAAAGTGAAGTAGAAGAGAAAAAAAAAAGTATTCATAATTAATAAGATTTTGATGTGTTAGAGATCCACTGGTAAACAATTAACTTAAAATTACTTTATGTATGTTTCTAAAATAAATCGCTAATGGATTTTTTTTGTTCTTTTCTTTTTTACTTTCCTTTTGCATTGTATTGTATTGGATTGTTTTGAAACACTATTAATGTATGTTAGTAGTACTAGAGTGTACCATTATATTCTGATTACATTCCCTTGCTCATTTGCTCCTTTGTGAGAATCATAAACCTATATGTCAAATAACACTGGACACTTTGCTCAGACTGTTTCTATATAGATTAAAATGAGCAGTATTCTCATCGTAAGATTAGTGATAAAAAGGCTGTGCCATTCCGATTATTTAAGCATGCATGAGGCAATATTGATGTGTGTCGAAAGCATAGCACAAGGTAAAATCGTGTTTGAGGCTTTCGGTGTGGAGAAAAGATGGCTTCATGAAAGGCTGGGCATTTGAACTCAAACTATTAGTTATGAATATCTTCATTCCAGCAGGCTCCCGATGGTGGCCCTATTCTCGAAAGCATCAAAGATGTCAAACATTTTTCTTTCGCTTCATAGCCATGAACGTCATTTAGTGTCATATCTAACTAGATCTTGGATGATGTTGAGAGCTTGATTGGCTGCTGTTTCTATAATCTCATTTTGCTAATACCTGACAGGTTGGATTATGTATTGGTCTTGCATTCACATTTCCAATTATGATGCATCCTATTCATGATATCACAGAAGGGAAGCTGAAGTCAAGCGGGTGGTTTCAAAGGCTATGCCACAAGGCAAGAGGAGCCGAGGAATTCGGCTTGCATGGGGTCCGCATCTTAATGGTGGTCATTATGGCAATACTGGCTTCTTTGATACCGGGATTTGGAGATTTCATCTCTCTTGTAGGGAGCACTGTTTGTGCTTTGCTCTCTTTCGTGATGCCGGCAACATTTCATCTCACTCTCATGGGCTCTCATCTCAAGTACTGGCAGAGACTGTTGGATTTTTGCATACTTGTTGTTGGAGTGGTTTTTGCCGGTCATGGCACGTACGACGCAATCTCAAAGCATTCCAGGCGGTGATGACTTGATTTGGTTTTGTTTTAAATAGATGCAGGTTGAGAGTTTCTTTGGCTTGAGTAAAGCAAAAGTATGGATGTTTGAGTCATAACCCAAATAAAGTTTTGTTGTACCATGACTGTACAAAGCGGTAAGACAATGTAAGTTCTTAATGGAGATCGCTGTAGCAATATCGTTGCAAAGTGCATTCCTGACTTCTTCTAAGCATTTTTCATAACACTTACGAGTTCACTCGAGTTTTTTTGCAGGTATACATCAAAACTGAGGCAGGCGACATTTGAAATTAATCTAACGATTCTCACTTTGTGCCATTTTTCTTGGTGAAACAGAAACCCTTGAGACTACCCGAACGGGTAAAATATAGAAAATGGAGGTATTGGTGACCAAACTATCATGGTTTCGACGAGAATGTTGCAAACTTTTCCTTGCAAATAAATATACACAGAGATTCAAAAGCCTGTCTATCAATTTTACTTCAGGGGAAAATTCCATACAGGAAGATCACAATTATGAACCAACGGCACAGCCAAAAATAGCGCGATAAGTACTATAGAAAGCAAACGCAAACCCCACAAAGAGTAAGAAGTAATCAATCATCTTCTGCCAGAATTTGAGGGAAGAACTCATAAGCTTTAGATGAAATGACGCAGGAAGAACAAAAGAAAGCAGAGAACAGACGGTGCCTCCTGTAAGTGACATCAGTTGAGCGAAGCCTGAGGCCGAGGTAGCCAAAATGGCTAAGGCCACGACCACGAGAATGCGAGAAATCTGAGAGAGCAACCAACCTTTGGCCTGTGAATTTCCACAGATCTTTTGAGACCATGGGCTTGAAATGAGCTTCCTCTCTGTGATCTCGTGGATGGGATGAACAGACATCGGGAAGACGAATGCGATAGAAACACAGAGGCACAACTGCTTAGTGAAAAGGAGGGCAAAATATTAGCAAATAATGTTGCAGAGATGAGTTCATGAACGTTCAAGTCAAATATTATGCGAGGGGATACTGCTTTTGCCAAATCGAATTGGAAGGCTGGTTTAAATTGTTCTATTTCAGCTTCATACACATTGTTAGCAGCTTTATATCAACGTCACAATCAATAGCGTCGCTATCATTTATATGGATTTTGTTAGTAATAAGGATATCATCAATAAGATATCATTTAGGATTGTCATTCAGGAACATATGAGGTTTCACAGAATAACTAGTACCTGAACACGGCCTAAAAAAAAGAAAAAAGAAAATTCCTGAATGTTGGCAAAACAGCGACTCCTTATCGTTCACACAATGTAATTGTATCGCTCTTTAAAGTTACTGATTTTCTTAAGAATTGTGTACACACGGTGCTGCAATTGAGTTGATGTGAATTAGAACACTAGATAGTTGGTTTTAGTTGAGACACAACTAAAAGAGGCCAGTAAAAAATGGAGCAAGAAGATCGAGAAATTGACAACGAAGGAAAATTTTACAAAGAATCATCTGGCAGAGTAAACATATAAAAACATTATGAGAAAAAATAATAAAATAATTACAAAGATGATTCCTACGTTATTGATAAATTTTCTCCCCCGTTGGTGCGCTCTAGCTCCATAGTGGGTTGTTAGAATTAATATAAAACTATAATCATTGATCATCACCATAACTTTGGAGTTTTTGTGTAATGGTTTGATGAACTAAATTTAAGATGGTATCAGAGCAACCCAGGTTCAAATCCCACCGGCCACGAATTAAATGCGAAGATGGTATCAGAGCAACCCAGGTTCAAATCCCACCGGCCACGAATTAAATGCGGATTTTCTAAAAATTGACACCGCTACAAATCCCACCGGCCACGAATTAAATGCGGATTTTCTAAAAATTGACACCGCTACGTGAGTCCAGGTTTCAATCCATAAAAAATGACGCTCGACCTGTGGGGACATGTTAGAATTAATATAAAACTATAATTATTGATCCTCACCATAACTTCAGAGCTTTGGTCTAATGGTTAGAGGAACTAAATTTAAGAAGGGCTATGTGTGATAAGGTTAGATAACAATTGTTGTTACCGTGCTCATGTATAAACGGGATTTCTAGTACATAACGAACAGAATTGACACAAACAAGATGGACATGCACATAGACATGTGATAACTTAATAAACACACTTAGCAAAAGTGTGAATCTTTTTACCTTAACACTCAATGCAGACCAATTATTAGGAAGATTCAGGGTAATTATCTCTTCTGTCTCTTCACCATAAGCCATATAACCAGAAACCCCAAAGCATATACTCAGAAGCACAACCACAACAAATGCCTGCAACAGAACCGTTGGAAACTTCCTCCTCTTAGACATCGAAGCCTCAAGTGGTAGAGTCATTCCAGAGCCATCCAAACTATAAACTGCAACTCCCAAAACAAAAGGTATAGCCCCCAATCCTTTAAAAGCTATCCTAGAATCAAATCCTTTGTCCACAAGCCTTTCCGCGTCTTCCTTCATCACGATAAACATGGCAAATACATTGCAAAGAGTAGCAAAGGCGCTAAAAGGAGAAAGAAGGGAGATGGAGCGGATGAAGGAGAGAGCGATTTGTAAAGGGAGGATGAAGAAAAATATGAAGGACGAAGGGGGGTAATAATGTGTAGTAGTGAAGGAGTTGAGTGCTGAGGAGAGATTTTGGCCCACAAAGAGAAAGTATGCGACAGAGCTTCCGATGTAGGATACAAGGATAAGAAATTCAGTGATAAAGCGACCAGTTAATCCAAAGGCCTTAGCTCCTACATCTCCGTAGGTTTGCGATTGTGGCATGTCATCTTGTGCATCCTCTTCTATCTTTTTTCTACATTGTACCTGTACAAGAAACCAAAATGTAATAAGTTTAGTTTCTGTAATGAACTGTATCTAGACTCTTATGCAAGTTTTCTTGGTTTCATTTTTTTACTGTTCTTGCGGATAGAGCCCCTGTACTATTCCCAAATTGAACTTACTACCCCTACGGTTCTTTTGTTGTAGAAAGACTCCCAGAGTGATTTTTTTTTTACCACTTCTCAAGAGTCTACAACAATTGATTTTCACGGAGGGGGTCTATCTACAACAATAGAACTACAAGGATAGTAAGTTCAATTTGGCAATAGAAAGGGGGCGTCTATCCGCTGTTAACCCCTTTTTTATGTCTATATGCATGATATTACCTGTTGAACAATGAGTTTGTCAATCCACTCTTTTTTCTTCTTCTTTTATTATTATTATTATTATTATTATTATTATTTGCAAAAAAATAATTGCCTATCAAGTTTTCATGCACATAGGCATAGAGGAAAACAGTACACGGATGAAGGTTCAACATAGCGAAGAAAGGAAGAGGTAAGTTCATAATTTTTCTTATATATACAAAATGATATGCATCCTCGTATTTCTTATGAGACCCTTTTGACTTTTCAGAAGAATGCACTCTGAAAATTACAGTTTTAATGAAGTTCAATATGTATAACACAATAAGTCATAGCAAAAACATCTAAGATATTTAATAATTCCTTAGAGTTAAACATTGCTTTTCATTTAGAAAGGGTTTACTATAGAGTATAAGAAGGGAAAGATAAGAAGTTGGCACTGTACCAGTCAAATTCTAAGACATGGAATGAGAGAAAACCTGTATCTCTCTTTCACCGAATAATGCCCATACTAATGTGTGCTTTAGGATAAGTAATGTTATATATAGCCTTAAACTATTCCCAAATCAATATCAATACTAAGTTTATAGCCTCCCGTTTCACAATGTTTTACTTAGTGTGTAAGCATTTGGAGGGCTACTCCTTTATCGAGGTTAAACTTCATAATAGACAAACAAGATGTTTTTTTAGAACATAAAATCGTAGTCCCAAACGTCATCATAACTCAGAAGTTCTGATAAAACAGAACGACAATTTTAAGTTTCATGTATAAATCCTATTACGGTTCATAACAAGTTTACCTCAAAACAAAATAGTTTCCCACAAGTTCCTCTCCATCAAGACACTAGAATTATGATTCTGCTGCTAAACTACTTTGGATGATACATCATAAGAAGGACATACTATTGATTAAATGGATACATAGAAACTACTTGAGACAGAACAATATTTGGCAAGTGCAAAACAGAGAAAGTGACTCTTGTATGTGGAAACAAATTCTAAAAGTTAGGGACTTGTTAGCAGTGAAGCTTCGCAATATTGATAATCTTCTTTCTGTCATCAATAGTTGCTGTACTGGTGATAAATTCAGCATTTCTGCAATGTACAAGAGGTTAAATCAGCAGGTTCCTTCAACAGCAATATCAGGAACTATCTGGGGTGGTTGGCACTACCCTAAACACTCCTTCATCTTGTGGTTGGCTTCCATCTCAAGGTTGTTAACTCAAGGCAGATTGTGCAGAATGAGGATCGTTAATTCAAATCAGTGATACCAACCAAAGAGAAACCTACAATCACTTATTTTTTGATTGTCAATACTCAGCGGCAGTTTGGAACAAAGTAATGGACTGGGTTGGCTTCAATTGGAAATCGTGCAGCTGGTATCATCTTTCATCCTTGTTTAGTATGAGCTTGAGAGGGACTGGTTTCAAAGCAAAGCTTAAAAGGATGGCATTATCAGCGTCGGTTTATATGCTATGTCAGGAAAGGAATCTTAGGCTTTTTCAGAGACGTGCACGAGACCCTGATACTCTCTTCCGTGCACTGAAGTTCATCATACACTCTAAACTTCTGAATGAGAAAATCTCAATTCATGTAAAGGAATACATTGAGAGATTGCCTTGAGTAATCGGAGCCATGACATGCTCTGTTTGAAAATTAAGAGATGTAATTCAATTTCATATTTGGTAATGAATAAAAATATTTTTTCATTGACAAAAAAAAGAAGATTTCTCACTAATTCAATTCTCCATTAGCAGAACACGAATTGGATTGTACATTAATATTGAAATTTGTTGACTCATTTGGACCAATCACAATGAACATATTTTGAACTCAAAGAGGCAAATATAGGAAGATATCAAGAGGCCTTCATTTTTAGCGGAGTTGTCGCTCAATCATCTGCTACTGCATAGATGCAGACGGCACAATGAAAATTTCTTGTATTTTTTTGTCTCTTCTCATTTTTGTAAATAAATTATTCTTTACTTTCAGACATCAACCTTTCTCAAAACAGAAAAAATAAAAATTCACTAATGTGAAATGGTTGATATGATGATATCAAGTTAACAAATAACAACCAACATGCAAAATTTGTTTTACGAGAGAGAAAGAGGGGGACTCACAAGGAGAAGCATGGAGTAATACATGGCAATGGCAGCAACGACGAGGGCGAGAGAACCAGATAACCAACCTGCAACCCTAAAAGCATAAGGAAGGCCCAAAGCGCCCGTGCCGAGCACGGACACAAGAACGTTGCCTAGGGTTTGTGCTGGCGTTGCTTTTCTATTTGGTCTTGATTCTTCAAGCAATGGGCTACCTCTCCCTTCTCTTTCTCTATAATCCATCTCTATCTATCTGGGAGAACCTTTTTTTTTATTTTTCAGAAAAGCTCATGAATGCTTTTTAGGTATCAGGTGATCAGGGTATTTACGGGTTCCAGCCAAACAAATCAATTGAACGTGCCACATGCATGTATGAGGCTAGGGCTGCAGAGGATCGGATATGGATTGGATATGAATATTTATTATATCCGTATACACCCTTATCCTACGGATATACGCATACAAAGACATATATCTTGGTAAGAAAACTCATATTCATATCCATCAAAATTAAGTACTGATTAAAATTAAAATAAGAAAATATGTAATGATACAAAATAGACATATAGAAATTGTCAGCAAGCCCAAGCCGCCCATGTTTTTCATCTCCTGCAGCTTTTGTTGAAAATTTGAGAAGAAAACAAAAGAGCGGGCCCCACAGCTACAGTAAAATATTAATATTTTATTATGCATAGTGTTTTTCTAAAAACTATAAATAGGGCTACAAATCCTTAAGTAAATCTCATCTCAGAAACAACTTCTTATATAGAAGAGTTAGAGAGAAAAAAAATAGAGAGAGTTTCTCCTTGTAAAGAGAAAGAGTTTGTAACTCCAGAGTTTTCTCCTCATAGTGAATTCTTCTATCCTTGCCCGTGGACATAGGTAATCAAGTGCCGAACCACGTAAATCTGTGTGTCCAACTTTTTATCTCTACTTTCGTTTTAATATTGCTGCGATCCTGCTCTATTGGGCCTCGGATTTGTCCCAACAAGTGGTATCAGAGCCAACTTAGAGTACTTGTATATATCTACTTATCGTATGCTCTGTGGCTGCCACCAAAAGGTGGATCCTCCACATCAGAAAATAAGTTAGGTTATCATTTACCCTTTGAAGGTGACGGGTACTATTCACGAATACGGTACTGTTCATAAATACGAAACTATTCACAAGTACGATATTATTCACGCATATGATTACTGTTCATTAATACAGTTACTATTTACGTAAAATAGTAAGAAGTTACTATTCGTGGTAGAAGCAATGGCGGTGAAGTTCAAGATCGAGAAATTCGACGGGAGTAATTTCTCTTTGTGGAAGTTGAAGATAAAGGCTATCTTGAGAAAAAATAATTATTTGACGGCCATCGGTACAAGGCCAGACGACATCACGGATGATAAAAAGTGGAACGAGATGGACGAAAATGCTATTGCAAATCACCATCTGGCATTAGCAGACGGGGTGTTGTCAAGCATAGAGGAGAAGAAGATAGCAAAGGAGATCTGGGATACTCTAACAAAGCTATATGAGGCGAAATACATGCACAACAAAATTTTCTTAAAAAGGAGACTTTACACTCTGAGGATGGCGGAATCTACATTGATGACCGACCACATCAATACTCCAAACACATTGTTCTCCCAACTCACAACGTTGGGGTATACAGTTGGTGCGAATGAACGTGCAGAACTTCTACTTCAGAGTCTACCTGACTCATATGATCAACTCATCATCAACCTGACAAACAACGTCCTTACGGACTATTTAGTCTTCGATGATGTTGCAGCCGCTGTTCTGGAGGAAGAAAATCGGCGCAAGAACAAGGAAGACAGGCAGGCAAGTTCTCAACAAGCGGAGGCTTTAACGGTGATGAGAGGAAGGTCAACGGAACATGGCTCCAGTGAGAGTCATACGCATGGTAGATCCAAATCAAAAAGTAAGAAGAATGTCAAATGATACAACTGTGGCAAAAGAGGGCACGTCAAATCGGAGTGTTGGCACAATAAGAAGAGTGGAGAGAAAAAGTCTTCAGAGCCATCAACATCTCAAGGATGCGTTGTCAGCACATCAGACGATGGTGAAATTCTATTCAGTGGAGCAACCACTGTTGATGAAGGCAGAAAGATGTTTGCTGATGTCTGGCTTCTAGATTCAGCAGCCTCCTGGCACATGACCTTTTGGAGAGAATGGTTTCACAAATATGAACCTATCTCAGGAGGATCTGTATTCATGAGGAATGATCATGCATTGGAGATTTCTGGTATTGGCACTATCAAAGTCAAAATGTTTGATGGTACAATACGCACTATTCAAGATGTGCGACATGTGAAGGGCTTGAAAAAGAATCTATTGTCTTTGGGACAATTAGATGAGCTCGGGTGCAAGACTCATATCAAAAATGGGATCATGAAGATTGTTAGAGGGGCGCTTGTGGTGATAAAAGGAGAAAAGATAGCTGCAAATCTGTACATGCTCAAGGGAGAAACCATGCAGGAAGATGATTCATGTGTGGCATTAACCAGCCGTGGAGAAGAACAAACCATGATGTGGCATCGCAAACTAGGCCACATGTCAGAACGAGGCTTGAAGATTCTCTCCGATCAGAAACTACTTCCTGGACTTAATTCGGTAGCTCTTCCATTCTGCGAGCATTGTGTTACTAGTAAGCAGCATCGGCTAATTCTGCGAGCATTGTGTTACTAGTAAGCAGCATCGGCTAAAGTTCAACACATCGAGTTCTAGAAGCAAGTCTATTCTGGAACTGGTTCATTCTGATGTATGGCAAGCACCAGTTACATCCTTAGGATGAGCAAGTACTTTGTATCCTTTATTGATGATTACTCCAGAAGATGTTGGGTGTATCCTATCAAGAAGAAGGCGGATGTGTTCTTAGTCTTTAAAGTCTACAAAGCACGGGTCGAGCTTGAATCTGAGAAGAAGATCAAGTGCTTAAGGTCAGATAATGGAGGAGAATACACAGATGGTGAATTTCTAACATTCTGCAAGCAAGAAGGCATCAAAAGATAATTCAGTACGGCTTATACTCCACAACAAAATAGAGTGGCGGAGTGGATGAACAGAACTCTGTTAGAAAGAACAAGAGCTATGTTGGCAACTGCAAATCTGGAAAAAGTCTTTTGGGCGGAAGCAGTAAAAACCGCCTGTTATGTGGTGAATCGATCTCCATCAACTGCAATACAATTGAAGACGCCAATGGAGATGTGGACTGACAAGCCAGCTGATAATTCTAACCTCCATATATTTGAAAGTCCAGTGTACGTAATGTACAATGCCCAAGAAATTACAAAGCTGGATTCAAAATCCAGAAAATGCATATTCTTGGGGTATGCTGATGGAGTAAAGGGGTATCACCTGTGGGATCCTACTGCCCGTAAGGTTATCATCGGCAGAGATGTTATCTTTGTAGAGAACCAACTACAAAGTGAAGAGAAAGAAAGCAGTTCGAGGAAGGACTCAGAGACTGTAGCTGTTCAGGTAGAAGATAATCCGAATTCTTCTGAAGCAACACCGGAGCATTATGTATAAGAACCGGTCGAATCCGAGGCGCCAGAAATTCGAATGTCAACTCGTGAGAGAAGACCACCGACTTGGCACTCGGAGTATATTACGGAGAGTAATGTTGCATACTGTCTTCTAACAGAAGATGGAGAGCCATCAACTTTTCATGAAGCTATAAATGGCACAGATGCATCTTTGTGGATGGCAGCAATGCAGGAAGAAATTGAAGCTCTCCATAAGAACAAGACTTGGGAACTTGTGTCACTGCCACAAGGAAGAAAGACCATTGGAAACAAATAGGTCTACAAGATCAAGCGAAATGACGATGATCAAGTGGAGCGATATCGTGCTAGATTGGTGGTAAAAGGATAAGCTCAGAAAAAAGGTATTGATTTTAATAAAATATTTCCTCCTGTAGTTCGACTTATAACAGTCCGAATAGTCCTGGCTATGAGCGCTATATTTGACTTACATCTAGAGCAGCTAGATGTGAAAATAGCATTTCTTCATGGAGATCTTGAAGAAGAAATTTACATGCTCCAACCAGAAGGTTTTGAAGAAAAAAAAAGAGAACTTGGTTTGCAGATTGAACAAATCTCTGTACGGTCTAAAGCAGGCGCCGAGGTGTTGGTACAAGAGATTTGATTCATTCATCATGAGCCTTGGATACAACAGACTTAATGCAGACTCTTGTGCATATTTCAAGAGGTTTGGTGAAAATAACTTTGTTATCTTATTGTTGTATGTTGACGACATGTTGGTTGCAGGCCCCAACAAAGATCGTATAAAAGAATTAAAGGCTCAGTTGGCTAGGGAATTTAAAATGAATGATTTAGGATCTGTAAACAAGATTCTAGGGATGCAAATTTACCGAGACAGAGTTAATAGGAAGATTTGGCTTTCTCAGAAGAACTATTTGAAGAAAATCTTACAACGCTTTAACATGCAAGATTGTAAGTCAATTTCTACCCCACTTCCTGTTAATTTCAAGTTATCCTCTAGTATGAGTCCTAGCAGTGAAGAAGAAAGGATGGAGATGTCTCGAGTACCATATGCATCAGCAGTGGGAAGTTTAATGTTCGCGATGATTTGTACAAGACCAGACATTGCACAAGTAGTGGGAGTGGTTAGTCGATACATGGCGAATCCTGGTAAAGAGCATTGGAATGCTGTAAAGAGGATTCTAAGATACATTCAAGGAACCTCAAATGTTGCATTATGTTATGGGGAATCTGATTTTATTATCAGTGGATATGTTGAATCTGATTATGCAGGTGATCGTGATAATAGCAAATCCACCACAGACTATGTGTTTGCACTTGCTGGCGGAGCTGTAAGCTGGGTTTCAAAATTACAGTCAGTTGTGGCGACTTCAACAACAGAAGCAGAATATGTAGCAGCTACACAAGCCAGTAAAGAAGCGATGTGGTTGAAGATGGTGCTGGAGGAACTCGGCTATGAACAAAAGAAGATTTCTCTATTTTGTGACAGTCAGAGTGCTTTGCATTTGGCAAGAAATCCAGCCTTTCATTCAAAGACCAAACACATTCGAGTTCAGTACCACTTCGTTCGTGAGAAAGTGGAAGAAGAAACAGTGGATATGTAGAAAATTCACACCAAAGACAACCTAGCAGACTTTTTGACAAAAGTAGTCAACACTGATAAATTTATTTGGTGTCGATCCTCTTGTGGTCTATCAGAGACGTAAGCAACATGAAGATGGCAAGATAGAAAGAATGGTGTGAAGA